CAACCTTCCATCCCCCTTCCTCTGGGATACATTTTTTTAAGTTAGCAAAGGAAAAGTCAGTATACTATGTTCCTTCCTTACGAAAAGGAAAGGAGAATTCCTATCCTTCTACTTGGGAAATGTGGAATAAATGTTGGTCCAGTAATTAATACACATTTTCAAAAATATATTGTGTCAAATCAGGTTTTAGGGGTTCCTTAAATGTTCAGGATTTGGTTTCTAAATCATATATATATATATATATATATATATATATATATATATGAAGGTTTTATTTATTTATTCATGAGAGACACAGAGAGGCAGAGACACAGGCAGAGGGAGAAGCAGGGAGCCCGATGTGGGACAATCCAGGATCACACCCTGAGCCAAAGGCAGACGCTTAACCACTGAGCCACCCACATGCCCCTCTAAATTATATTTTTATGTTAATTAAGGAAAACATGCTGGCACCTTCAAAGCTGTCATATGTACAAATACTGGCCATAATGAAGATTGCCCACACGTAAACTTAGGTTGCTGTCATGTTAAGACCATCAAATGCACACTTGGAAATAAGGCTTGTCCTGATGTTTTGCTACAACAAAATATTTTTGACTGGCTTTTTCTGTTTCGCAAGAGAGCACTGTTAATAGCCACTTGTATACTGGTGTCTGTTTACATCCATGAATGCTTTTGTTTGGTAACCCAGTGCAGAGGGAAGTTGGAGTTAGATGAGGGGAAAGATGGATTGACATTTTCCTTGCCTAGGGTCCATTGTGATACTTGCTTCCCGCCCTCCAACTTTACTGAGGAGTAATTGACAAATATAATTGTATATATTTAAAGTAGACAATGTAGTGCTTTGAGATTATCTATCTATCCATCTATCTATCTAGATATCATGTAATGCTTGTAAAGATCGAGATAATTAACACATCCATCACCTTACATAGTTCTCTCTCTGTGTCTCTCTTGGGTTTTTTGTTTTTCTGTTTTTTTTTGGGGGGGGGTTATTTACTTTTTTGGTGAGAATGCTTAATATCTTTCAGTAACTTTCCAGTGGACATTATTGTATTATTATAGTCACCTTAATGTATATTAGAGCCTCAGAACTTCTTATAACTGAAAGTTTTTACTTCAGATCCTTTGATCTGCATCTCCCCATAATCCCCTCCCAGTCCCTAACAACCACCATTACATTCTGTCTCTGTGAAATCAGTTTTTATTTGTTTTATATTCCGCATATAAGTGATACAAAATAGTACATATTTTTTTTTCTATCTGGCTTATTTCACCTGGAAAAATGCCCTCCAGCTTCATCCATATTGACACAAATGGCAGGATTTTCTTTTTAGTGCCTAAATAACATCCCACTGTGCGCGCGCGCGCACACACACACACACACACACACACACACACATATATATACCACATTTTTCTAATGTGATGGCTTCTTAGCATCTATGTATAGAGGGGTGGGTGAGAGGCTGGAGTTGGTGGAAATATTCAGTAGGAGCTTTGGAAGACTCTGGGAAAAGGGGTAATAGTTTTGTGAATCCAGATAGTGTAAATTTAGCTCAGTCCTAGGGAGGAAGCCTGTGATCACTTCCCTGAAGAACCTCGTTCTTCCCTGCACAGACCCTGGCACTGTTTCTGGCACACTCTTGCCATCTAAAGAATGGATGATTTGAAAATAACAACTTGGTGGGTTAGCTTCACCATGTTCTTTACACATATGGACAAAGTGGCATTCCCCACAGTAGTTTTGTAAGCTGTGGATATGTCAGGAAAGAGCCACAGCAAAAGAAGAGGACACATGGCATGTGGTGACAGTGGCTCCCAGACTAGTTGAGGAATCTTCAGACAAGCCATGTGGAAAGTCTTAGAAATAATGGTGCTGAGGTCCTGGCACAGTGTAGGTAGAGGTTGTTAAGCCATTGATATTTGGATTACAGCAATTTAAAGAAAGTACCTAAGATCTAAAAGGGAATGTAAAAAAGCTATTACCGAGTGGTCATCAGTTACTGTTTGGAATCAGGGATATTTTGGTACTATGTAATGAAAATGAGGCATAGAAAGAAACAAGATGCTGATGAGTATTCCATTTTGTGTGTGTATGCATCAAAACAGCCTTGCTCTCATTGATTGGATTTATAATTAAATTCTGTGCAGTTGGGCTCATAGAATTAAATCTATACATGGAAATTATTTACTGAATGAATAAAAATAAATTGCTATTTATGTATTTTAACTACATATAACATTTCACTTGATGAAAAAGTTTCACTTATATTTTAAATTTGAAAAATGCACAAAAATAGTAGACAATGGGACCTGAATAGGGAGGCAATTGCATTCTCTCCTTTTTCTCATCTGATACTGGTAGTTTGGGTCATGGGCCTTTAACGGGTACTAATTCTATTATATAGTATTGCTAATTAACCAGGACAGAAAAGCCAAGAGACGACAACAAACCAGCTCTAATACGATGAGGCATCACTATCCCGGAGTGGGGGTAAATAATGCACATAGACAGTGAGGGGAAAAAAGAAGGTGAGAGAGATTGCAAGGAATCGATTGGAGACATAACTAAAGGTTAGCGGTCCTCCCTTCTTTCTTGCTCTCATTCTGAAAACAGAAGATGAGATTGATTCAAGCAGATATACTTTGGAATGCCAGAAAGGACACCTCTTCTGGTGCAGTATTGATAAACTGCCTGAGTGTATCAGTGGCATTTTCATTTTACTAGCCCCTGGAGAAGAGTCAGGGAGTGGATTTTTACCTCCCTGCCCACCTGCCTGAGAATTGCTTAAACAATGTGTGCGTGTGTGTGTGTGTGTGTGTGTGTGTGTGTGTGTGTACACGCGCACGCGACGGGCTCCAGACCATTACCTACTGGGTTAATGGGTTCCTTCTCCTGGGCTCTTCTGAATTCTCTCATCAGATGGATGGGAGATGCCGCCTATGCCCAGCTGAACTCCATTATTGAGTTTACTGCTGTATTGTATCAAGAGAGCTACTACCGAGAAATGCTTTCTGCCCACACCCCCATTTTCTTGGTGGGGGATTTATAGGTCTATTTGGCAAAATCATACCAAGGTAGAGTGGCAACGTCACTTTGTGTCTTCCAACAAACAGCCACCCCGCTGTCACTGATCAGCGATCCTGGGATGGCGGTGATTGAAATTTAGCACTTAGAGTGACTTAATTGGCACGCAGACCTGTTAAGCATATGCACCCACCACAGGTGCACCATCTGATGCACCTGTAGGGTGCCCAGTACCTCACACATGCTCACATTTTGCTAAAGAAGCAAGTTTTGAACAGGTCCTTGAGGAAGGCCTGCACGGTGTTTCAGGAGAGGGGTGGCCTTAGAACACAGGTCCTCAGATCTCTGCCTGTCTTTGGGTTACCTTAGTTCTTAATTCCTTTGAACTTGGGACAAACCTGAGGTTGTGCAGTTCCAGTTTGCTTGCTGTGAAAGAAGTGTTTGGAATCAGCTCATTGATGCTTGTGCCTTCAGTAAATCTAGCCCTGTGCTAGCAGAGTGGAACTTGGAAGGGCTCCGTACTCCTTGGCAGCTTGCTGCCTTGGAATTCAAGGTTACAATGTTCTGTGCTCACTGTGACTAGAACTGATCCCTTGGCCTTCAGGGAAAATCCTGGAAGTCGATGTCAACATTTTTCTGCTGAGTTGGAAACAGCAAGACTGGGCCAAATGTCCTCGGTTATGTGAGGCAGGAGAGAAATAGAAATCTCAACGGAAAACAGAGCAGACCTATTAAGTTTTTGTCCTTACATAAGAAGAGTGAGTGAGGGATGAGAACTCACTGGGTAGGAACATACTCCTCTGTGGAATCTTCCCAAGTGTCCTGGTGCTCATGCACTCCAGGGAACGGGGACCCTGGTCATCACTGCAATTGCTGGAGGAAGCAGCCTTTTCAAGCTGCCATGGTGGGCATGAGTGTCCGCGGGACTGAAGAGAGCTAGATCAGCTGTCTGTCAGCCTAGATTTTCTTTGATGAGCTTGTCCTGTCCTAACTGGATCATAGACTACCAGGCCTCATCTGTAGTTATGTTCTCCTCGGGCATCAGGCGAAATACTGGGTTCCCAGTAAATGTTCAAGGAGTGTTGAATTGAATGCTGAGAGAAGGAACTACATAGTTAGAGTTCCTCTGAGTGATCTTGAGAATAGCAATGGGGTCAAATCAGAAAAGGGTTTGCTGTGAAGCTAATGAAGCTGAAGTGTCAGTGTCCTGGGACCTGTCTTAAACATTTGAATTGGTGTGTTTATATTCTGTTCCTTACAGAGGGTTCCCCAAACTGTAAGCTTCAGGAACCCGTAAAACATAAATATGTTCCTATTGAAATGTTCTTGCTGGGCCCTCCTGGAAGCCTCTGGATTCCATCCAGTGGCCTTCCCAGAAATTGGAGAATCAAAAGAAACTGATAAAGCCTACAAAGGAGAAGAAAGGGAAGGGACTGACATGTAAGAACCCCATGCAAAGAGCATTTATTACCTATTTTAACTTCTTACAGCAAGCCTTTCTTGGGTGATAGCATTTACTGCCCCTGCCCTCTTAATAGGTGGGGAAATTGAGGTTCAGAGAAGGTAAGCAACCTGCCCAGTGTGTCACAGCTACTAGGGCTGGGACCTACGTCACTGACCTTCCTCTCTCCTGACCATCTGCTCAGGGGTTCCTTTACAGGGTGCATATTTGACAGCTCTGCTAGCCTTTGCCAAAAGCCTTAAGCCCTCCAGGGTTAGGAATGCCTGGATAGGCAGGTAACTCTTCCTGGAGGACAGAGGGAGAAAGTTGGGGAGAGGATCAGGCCTGAGCGTGCAGAGGAAGGCACTAGCAAACCCGTCTCCAGTCAGTGTAAGTGATGCCCTAACAATTAATTCAGTTACGTTAAGCACCCATTAAAGGAGTCCTAAGTCCTCCCTTGGGCCATTTCAGTTCTATGAGATTGTATAATTGTTTGAGACTAACCATGATTTCTTCTTTTGCCTTCAGGTGATTCTCATTTTGACAAAGCTCTATGACTATAACCTGGGGAGCATCACTGAGAGCTCGCTTTGGAGGTATGTAGATAAAGTGAGCTAACGATTCCTGTGTTACTTAAACATGACACCCATGACTGCTGGTTCACACTCCCTTTTTCCTGGAGGCAAAGATTTTTGGGTCTGTGTTGTCATCACCTCATCTGTTTGCTGTTCCCCTTAGTCATGGGTTGGGGTTTATCTCCAGGCAGGCCAGATCCTTACTTCTCTTATAGACTCCTTGTTTGGGCCACAGGTCTTTTTGCTAAACTGTTCAAGTTGTCTTTATGCATTTTGGTACCTGCAGTTCTCACTGATCTGTGAGCTTATTGGAGCAGAAGCAAAAGAATGAAGGTGTCTTTGCAGAAAGGATATCTACACCACCTCTGGGTTTGTGGTGCCCAAGCACCCTACCCCTGTAGCTTTTCCACGGCTTCCCTTCCTGGCCCTCAGCTCACTGGCACACAGGTGTACAAACACACTTGCATACATGCCCTTGTCTCTGGGATTCACACTGTATTACCTCACACATTTAGGCTGTGCAATAAATTCTTTTTCAGATGAATGCTATAGATCCTTTAGGATCAGGCTAACTCATTGAACACCAGCGCAAATGTGCAGTTGGGCTGAAACTAGGGACAGGAAGGTCCTCAGAAATCCAGGCAGCTATTCTCTCCTTTTGTTCTTGGGGACTATATGTTCCGTTGTTTCTGTTTCTGAACATCTGCTTTATTGGTCTCATCCTGATGGGATCTTTGCCAACCCTACATCATGTGTCCACACCCAAACCAACCTCAAGCACAGAAGGGGCTTGGTTGATGAGGCCAGGATCTTGTGACAATCCCTGAGCCAGGGAGAGGATGGAGATGACCCAACGGGTAATATTCAGTGATCACTGAGTTGGTATCCAGTCCAGAGTCTGATCGGTCAGTGCCCTGGTAATAGCAGTGGTTTAAATATGTTGAATATTGCTTCTGATCAATCACCCCACACTTGTGTGTGCAGACTAAGTGGGAGAGGTTATACTAATAACAGAGAAGCTGGGAGTAGTGTCTGGGCAGACACAAGCCAGCTGCTGTCCTCCTCATGAGATCAGGGGATCTTCCTCACCTGTCAGTTAATATGACCGGGAGTGATTAGCTGTGGGCCCTCAGGCTAATGTCTAGAGAGAAAGACCTCAGTCTGCCCTTTGTGTCAGAGGTATATCCCTGCTACAGAGAACAGTGACTCGTGGTAGGGGTGGGGGTGGAGGAGTAACTGCACTGGCTCTAGATAAGAGCAATTTGGTTGCAATTTGGTTGCAAAATAGTAGCAATTTGGTTGCAAGGCCATGTCCCCCTAGGGCCATGCACTTGTCACCCAGAGGAGGGTCATGGACTCCACACCCTAAAGGAATCTACCCTGCAAAAGGATTGTGTGTTAAATTTTGTTTTAACCTGATGGCGCTTTTCCATTAGGCTTCCCACTGTGTATAAGAAGCCCCAAATAAATTGTTAATGTGCTTTAGGAAAACCCCAGCAGAACAAAGAAAAGGATGGAACCCTGTTCTGTGCTTGTTGGGAGGTGTTTAAATTATTGAACTCCTCCCCCTACCAGAAGGTCAATTATGCAGTTTCTACCCCAAGGAAATGATGTAACTAAATTAAAGTGTGGGAAGTTTGGTAGGAGCCTCACAAAGTGTGATTCTTTAATGCATGAAGGGCTTGACACTTGCTCTGTTTAAACTCAGGACCCCTTCATCAGATTCTCTGTGACTCTGAGTAAGCTTATGCTTTTTTGATAGATTTCTTTAATGTATGTACATACATGAAAGTCAAAGCCAGCTTTTATTCCGCAGCGCATCTGCTGTGTAAAGTGTAGTCGGCATATTAGAAAATTAAAAGATAGGCAATTCTGTTTCAATGGGACAGAGGCTATTAGCAGCCGTACGTCTCAGCCTGAGCAGCGGGAAGGGCATGCCCCGGGGACCGAGGTGCAGCATGCCCTAGACTGCTCCTGTACCTCTCGTGGGGCACTGTGACGGTGCCCCAGCCTAGGGAGAATGTTCTTTTCTCATCTTAAGGGGGAGAGTTAATAAACTAAAAATAGCATCACACTCCAGTAATACCAGGACTTTCTTCTGAAGGAGCAACATCCCTCGGCTATTAAGTTGAGGAGAGTGTGGCAGGAATGATCTGAGGACCCTTCAGTCTTCAGATGGATTTCGATGGAGGATATATACACATAAATATGCATACACACACACACATGCATACATGTATGCACATATAATATACCTACATGTATTTAGTTCTTTGATATATCCACAATTGTGTTGTATATGTCCTATGTTACACGTGTCATTTGTGGCAAATAATTACTGTGGGTGCTTTCTATCATTAGAACTATCATTTTAATGCTTTGATAGAGGAACCCATGCCTTAATGAGAATATAATTTAGAAAAGAAAAGAGGGAAGGAGAAAGAGAAATATTCAGAATGCTTCATAAATGCTTTGACAGGGCTTGCATTTTAGGGTGGCTCATGATGCCATGTTTGGTCCTTAGGGGATCTCTTTGGGGGGTGTTAATACAGAAGAGGAAAGGGAGAGGTCTGGGTTAGCCCTGCTTCGAGAAAACTAGTGCCAAGGGTAGACTCATTTTCTCCTGTGTCAGCTCTTATTTTCTTCTCAGAAACCCTGCTAAAAATTGGGGACCAGCCAGGTTTCAGGTATTCTCATTACATCCCCAGCACAGAGCACTAGACTTAGCCCACAGAAGATGTTCGGTAAGCATCTGTTTTTGAACAGACCAGTGAATACTATAATGTCCTATTCTTTCTTACTCATTTCTTCAGCAAAGATGTATTGATGAACTCCTTTAGGTCTTAGATTGTTCTGGTCCAGGGAGGAGAACGTGGGGTGTACATAGATCAAGAGTGCAGTGTTCATTGTCTAGAGAGGGTGAAGACCTGTGGACAGTTCAGGTGAGAGATAAGTGTACTTGTATGTAACATGCCTTCTATAATTGTTTGGGAGCGGGAGCTTTGCAGCCACCTGGAGCTGCTAGATCCCAGAAGAAGATAAATCTTACATAAACAGACAAACTGTCATACAGCCGTAAGTGTAATAAAGATGCGAGATAAGTGTTGCTTCTTTACTTTGCTCATGTGTATATTTTCTCTCCTCAACTAGACTTTAAATCCTTAAAGGTTTAAATTTAAAACCTTAAACCTTTCTGGTTTAATGATAACGGTGATGATTCTGCTGATAATGATGATGATGACAACATTAATAAAAACTAACTTTTATTGAGCGGTCACTATGTGGCAGGCACACAGTTAAGTGCCGCACGTATAGTAATGCATCTTCTTGCTTCATTTTTATGGTGTGCTCAAGGTCATACAATTAGTAAATAATAGTCCGCACACTTACGGGGCTGTTAGTTAATAAACTTCAGCCATTTCACCACTTACCTATCTTCTGGAGTCCCATCTGCCTTCCAGTGACTCTTTTTGGACCTGAGCAAATAAGCAAACAAAAAATTTTACGACATTTTTTAAAAGATTTTCATTTATTTATTCAGAGAGACACAGAAAGAGGGGCGGAGAGATAGGCAGAGGGAGAAGCAGGCTGCATGCGGGGAGCCTGATGAGAGACTCTTGATCCCTGGACTCTGGAATCATGACCTGAGCTGAAGGCAGATGCTCAACCACTGAACCACCCAGGCGTCCCTAAGCAAACAAAACTTTAATCATAAGTATACAAAATAAATAGAGTTTTCAAAGCACTGTGACATTCTGAGCAGCTTCTTACTATCCCAGAAAAATACTGGGTAACAGAGAAATGGCTTCTTGTCCAACAAATAGATGCAAACACTTTTTAAATGAGTCCTTATTCTTTCCAAGTTTTTCCCACTGAACTGTGAGAAGAGGTCAAGTGGCAAATGCCTCAGAGTGTCGGGATAGGAACCAGGCCAAGAGGCAGCTGACCTTGCAGTGATGTCCTAGGGCTTTACACCTTGCTGGATCAACAAGCCTTGGATGACAGGGTGAGATGCTGCTGCACTAAATTAATGAGATTTTGCTCCCAGTTGTTCTTGTCATTGATTATACCTTTAATCTTGGAGCAAGTTGTTGATTTTGTTTTGTTTTGTGTGGTTGTTCACTCAGGAACTCAAACTGAGAGGAAAGGGGAATGGTCTGACACAGAACAGTTAACTACAGCTCTGAGAATCTTCTCCACTTTACGGTGGATTAAGCTTTGAGGGTTGGGATTGCTGGTGGTTTTACCATATTGGAGCAAGATAAGCTTAAAGGTTGGGATAAATAAAATGTCAAAATCTAGATACAGTATCTCTGAGAAGATATATATTCATTTTTTTCCCCCTCTAGTTCTGGGGTAATCAGCACTTTGCTGAGGGAGACTTAGCTGGTGAGAAAGCCCTAGGCAATTCTGGAAGGAACAGAAAGGATAGTCTCAAAGGGACAGGCAGCCTGAAGTGCCTCGTCCTCGGAGAGCTTGGCTGATACGGCTTTCTTCTCTTCAGATCCAGCATACCATTTCAGATTGAGGTGAAACACAAGCAAGTGTCTGAGCACATCTCCAAATTACGAGCTTTTCAAACAGTAGTACCTGCTTTTTGGGGACAAGGAGCATGTGTAAGGTAGTGAGAATGGTTAGGCTTTCTGTTTGATTCCACTCTGGGACCCAGCCTTGTCTCCTTGTCACAGGAGCAGCTTTATTTCTTCTTGGGTGGGACACATAGCAATTATCAAGAGAGGCTTTCCCGTGGAGTCTCTGTGGAGAGAAGGTTCTTAGTGTGGGTGCCTAGAGGCAGTGTCTGTGTGGGGTTGGCAGCAAACAGTGCTCCCTGGAGAGCCTCCTGGGGTTCAGGCTGATAGAAGCTGACCTGAAGTCTGTGACCGTGCCAGCCCTGTGGTGGATACACCTTGGCTGGTCCCCTCTTGCCTTCCCCCTCCTCATCCAGGGGAACAGCAAAGAGCAGCTTGGGACAGGTTGTTAGTCCCTGCTTTGAAAGGTGCATTGCTACAAAATTTAGCATT